ATTTACATCAGTTATTTTATGCATTCACGTTAATGATTTTTACATGGCAAATCAAATTTAAGATCTGCAGAAAATGGCCTCATACCCATGAGTCATGGATGCCATGCTATCTGCTTACCCAACATTTTTTTCAACATACATTTAGCTTCAGGAAAAGCTCCAAGTCAAATGTGCTATAATTTAAATGGGCACTTCAGGTATTTGGCTCAATGAAACTATTCTATTTCGGTATTAGAAAAACCACAATCACAAGTTGCATAACATTCAAAACACTTTAAAGCTGTGATTTAAATGTCAGCACCCAGAATTCTGAAGATACAATGTCCTAATCCTAGAATAATGCCCTGGTTCTATGGTTATGATGATAGCCTCTTAAGATCTATGAAGTATAGAAAGAGAGACAAAGTCCCTATTTTCCTGCACTTCATTCACAATTTAGCCCCCAAGTTCTGAATATAAGCATTTTCTGTCACAACAAGCCACCTTTATAACATCCAGATAATTATATGTTCAGGTCAAGAACTCTAGATCGTATTGATTACATCTCTACACAATAAGAACCCTCCAGCACTGTCTGTTTCTACTATAACAGGGGCAGCTTTTAAGTATCTGTGACACTAAGAATTTTCAGTTCCATCAATGTAAGGAATGGAAAGCCAGTGACAGTCAGGCCTGTCAATTTTGGCCTGAAGGAGTTAGGAGAAGCTGGGAATTCATCATACTGAATTTCATGTGCCAGCTGCATTCACACATTTTTACCACCTGAATAGTTGATTCTCTTCAACTCCCACCCAGCTAATTGCAGCATACAAATGTTTTGAAATAAATATTTTATTACTTAGGGTAAAAGAGGTTTGGATTTATCTGAGGTGTCAACACAATGCACAGGGCTCACAAATTGCAAAAGGAACTTTGAAATCACACAAATTTTGTCAAAAGTAAACTCTCACCCAAGTATGAATTTAAAGAAATACAGAAACAGGGTAGGTTTGTTAAAACCTACTCTTATGATTTTTGGGTTTCAACAACTGACTTTCATGTGCCTCTGTATTGTTTTCTTTCATGTGCCTCTGTATTGTTTTCTTTGTATGTATCCTACGGAGAGACAATGAGCTCTTGAAAGTTTGAGCTGACGCCTTCAATTAAATTTAGGAACTCTCTGCTCCCATTGCTTTTTATCACTACTCTCCTCCTTGACATCTACCTATAATAATTACGCATATATCCATATTGCTTGATTTTGCTACTTTCATTTCTCTGAGTCAGTATGACAAGCTTGGTCTTATTTATGAGTCTGTTTTCTTTTGTATTCATTCAGCTGTTAAGCCCATGCAGTGAATTATTTAAATACTTTATTTTTCAATTTTAGAATTGCATCTTGGTTCTTTCATAAATTTAGTCCATCTTTACAACAATCCAATAAAAGAAGGATACAGTAGGAATCCAATATAAGAATATAAAATGTAGGAATGTAGTTTTCATTTTTAAAAAATATCTCCTGTGTATTTGGCAGTGGAACACTGTCTCCTAGGGCTAAGAAGAAGACAAGAAGGGTCAATATCAACATTCTCTTCAATATTGTATTGGTGGTCAAAGCAGGTACAATAAGGAAGAAGAACAATCATAATTTAATTATAAACAGCATGATAACACAATAGGTAATTCAAATGAATCTATAGAATACATTAATTTACAAACATTTTCATATATACCAGCAATATATAAGTATAATTGATATATTCAATATAGTATGGAAAAAACAAAAAATAACCTAATATATGCAATTTCTAAATTGAAAAGTAATGAGTATTAGAAATTAAATAAGTGGAAAACTATAAAATACTCACATAGTGGAAGAATCAATTACTTCAAAGATACCAAATTCTACCAAATTTGATGCACAGAGTAGAAGGAAGTCCTATCAACTCTTATTATCTAAATTACTATATGGATTAATTTAAATTTAATTTATATGTGTATGTTTCTCAGGACATACTTATATTTTTGTAGGGCTCCTTTGTGCTCTTAAAAACTGAAGACTCCAGTGCCCTCCCTGGTGGTACAGCGGGTTAAAGCACAGCACTAAGAAGCTAAAGCCACTTCACCATGAGTTCGATCCCTGCCCCGGAGGTGATCCACATGGCATAGCAGACCTCTCCTGACCTGCCCGCTGCTCCCCTTAGCAGTGTACTTTGTTGATCTGCCTGTTCTGTTCCCTGCTCTGTGTCTAGTGAATCCTTTCACCACCCCTGCACTTCTGGCCTGTACCCCAGCTCTGTATGTATAAATAAAAACATCTTTAAAACAAATAAACAACTGAAGACTTCAAAAGCTTTTTGTACATTGTATCATCAACACTGAAAATATTTATGCATAAACATAATTTAAAGCAATAGTAAAATGTGTATTGACATAAATGACATTTTATTAAAATAATTCCCACATTATAAAACAGTGAGAATAGTGACATTTTCCCCCTTCTTGAGTGGAACCTTTTATAACAGATGAAAGTGTTAAACATTTACTCTGGGTGCTGACATTTAAATCACAGTGTTTGTACTGAACTATGTGAGAATAGATTTACCTCATTTAAAAATATAATTGGCAAAAGACAGTAATTATTAAGATTATTTTTCAAAAGATTTATTTATTTATGCATACAGAAATGGAGTATAAGCCAGAGGAGCAGGAGTGGTGAGAGGATTCACCAGGGACAGAGTGCTGAGCAGAGCAGGGGGCGGGGAGGAGAGGTCTGCCATGCCATGTGGGTCACCTCCGGGGCCGGGGGTCCACTCCCACTGAAGCGGCTGTGGCCAGCTTGCAGTGTGGCGTCCTTACCTGCTAGAGGGCCCAGAAATTTTAGATTATGAAGCTCTTCAGATTGTGTAGACATTACTGGATATGACAACAAGTTTGTTGCAGTGATGTCTGAAACAATATCAATGAACGTTTTTTATAATATTATAGTAAAATCCTGTATTTCATCTCGTGTGCCCATACATAATTTTGTAGTAGCATAAATCATAAATTTGCAAGACCATAAATTAAGACACTTGGAAAATATCATAAATCTACGAGGATACTAGTCAATACCATAATTGATCTCGTTAGAGATGTCTTTAAGGGTAGGGAATCTTTTAAGCAGAATGGAAGAAATATACAGGTACAAGGTTTCTAAATTTAGTATTTATAACAGAAGCCTAGAATTTTATCACTGGTAATAAATATTATCAGCTATTTTCCTTATAGTGATAGTCTTACCTTGTTTTTTGTGAAAATTTTGCAAAATGACAATATCAGAAAAAATAAAATTAGGGAGTTATTTCAATTAAAATGGTACTCCACAATAACAGTTGCTAGTTTATTTTACAATAATCACACAAGTGTGTTTCCTCAAGTCAACTTTCATTGGTTAACTTCACTGAGTTGTAGAGAATATTAAAAAGAACACTGTATCAAAATTTAATAAAATTAATTTACTACAATTTTAATATAGTTAATGATTTTTTAAAAGATTTATTTATTCATACAGAACTGGGGTACAGGCCAGAGATGCGGAGGGTGAGAGGATTCACCAGAGAGAGAGCGGGGAGCAGAACAAGCAGATCGAGGAAGCACACTGCTGAGGGGAGCAGCGGGCGGGTCAGCAGAGGTCTGCCACGCCATGTGGATCTCCTCCCGGGCAGGTGAGGATCGAACTCATGCGGAAGTGGCTTTAGCTTCTTTGTGCAGTGCTTTAACCCGCTGTGCCACCAGGGAGGGCCCTAGTTAATGATTTTTACTATTACAAATGCATTGTAAGTAATTAGGGCTTTTAAAAAAACTACCAGTGGATGGCATTGTCTATGCAGAGTTTGGTAACGCTGTTTTACTATGCTAAGATCCAATCATCTATCATTGTTTTGTTTCATCTTTATTAAATGTTAACACGTTATAAAAAATAAAGATAAACAATTTCATGTTATAATAAAAATAGTTTTCACTCAGGACTCATTGAAAGTGTAATGAGTACTTTGAGGGATTCATGGGCCACACTGGAAATGAATGTTGTGTATATATGTTGTGTATATATGTGTATATTCATGTACACAATGATGCAAAGGGCTCGGAATAGCCAACCAGGATATGCATCGAAAAAAGGAAGTGTGGGAATTAACCATTAAGGTTTCAAAGCTACAGTAATTGAAATAGTGTGATAGGATGAAAAGAATGAATGAACAAATAACAGAATAGAAAAGCCAAGAAAAATAAGATTTTTTAAAAGACATCAATGAAATCCATTGGATTTCAAGGAAAAGCATGTCTTTTTGAACAATATTGCTGGCACAACTGGATATTTGTATGATAGCCTAGTATGACTTTAGATTTCTATCACAGTAACAAAACAACTTTCAAAGGATCAGAGATAAACACAGGCACCAAGACTGTATAATTTCTAGAAAAAAAGCTTAATTTCAAAAATGGGAGTAAGAAATCATTTTTTGTGTAAAACACAAAAGGAAATGTAAGGGAAAAATTGGACTTCTTTTTAAAAAATATTGGTAACTGAAAGGTATTATATTTAAAGGAAATAATTCTCTATATCAGACAAAAGAACTACAGGTAAAGTAATAATAAAGAATAGCTGCAATTCAATAATGATCATCTTCAAGTAAAAACTGGGAAGACTTCACAAGTGCATTACAAAAGCAGATAGTCAAATGGCCAGTGAGTATATTCAAGATGATCCAAATCAGGAATTCATGAAAAAAAAGCAAACGAAAACCACAGTTTACATTCATGAGAAATGGCTCACACAGTTAAGAATTAAGACTGGTAGTGTCATTACGAAATAGTTTCATAGAATTTCCTAATGAAGTCAGACACATGCCTAAATTGAGCCAGCAACTTCAGTCCTTACCGCATACCCGCTACCTCGAAAAATCTTGAATCAAGAAATCATTTCAAAAAAAGGACTTGTACAGGAAAGTTTATACCAGCTTTATTGAGAATAAGCCAAAAGTCAGAAACAACAGCAAAATGATTACATAAACGGTGTGATCACCCTACAGTGAAATCTTAAAAAATGAAGGAGTGACACAATGAAATACCTGGGTGAATCTCAACAAGTGTGAATAAAAGAAGCCAGATGCAAACAAATAGGCAGAGAATGATTTCGTTTACATGAATTTCAGTATAGACAAAGCTATTTGATGATCAAAGTCACTTGGTTATCTCTCCAACAAAGTTAGTATTGCCAGGAAGGGGCATGAGGGAACTTTGTGCAATGATGGAAATATTTGATATTTCCATCAGTGATGATTGACATAGGTATGAAAGCTCATACCTATCACATGCCTATGTGATTAAGACATGTGCATTTTTGCTATGTGTAAAGTATATCCTAACTTTGGAAACATCCACCATGGTAATACAAATTAAAGATCTGTCACATTTTCAAGCAGGAAGGGACTTTGGAAATAACACACTTCAATTCCCTCATTAATTGGAAGAAACACTAGAGTTTTGAAACAATCTGCCACACAAGTAGTTCCAGACAACTGAGTCTAGAACCAAAGATTCATACCCTACTAGTCATTCTTTTCCTCTACACTACACTTCCACAACAAGGTTTTTCCCAGAAACATTATTTTTCACTTTGATTATTTGCTTTAGATTGTTTACGATAATTTTCAACAATATGCAGGAAAATATCGTGATCTCTGGTTTTAACTAGCTGCCTGGGTGAGGCCCCAGGCTGCTTTGTAATTACTCACTGGGCTTACATATTAAATGGAGAGAGGGCTCTTTTGTTTGTTTCTAAGTTTATAGATGGCACCTATAAGCATAAGACTCTCAGGCTCTTGGACACAATTTAAAATAGTGTGGCACTAACAGTTTGACACTCATGTCACTAAGACAAATGGAATTCCCGGTTCAGACTTAAACAAATTCTAATACTGCCCCAATATTGTCCCTCTGCCACCAGAGTCTCAGACAACAGACTACATAAACTGCCCAGCTTTATATTAAAAAGTTATATACAACTAAAGGTACAAAGGAGAAAAGCTAGGTCTCTTGGCCAAAAAGTCCCATGTAATTATGTGGTATCCTGGTATATCAACACTGGGATAATTCCATCAATTCCTTCTCAAAATGCTTAGGAAAGACTTAAAGTCATGTCAAGGACTTGGTGCTTACAATAGAGAAAGCAAAGGCAAGGTTTTAGTTGACACAAAGATTTATTCAAAGAAGCAATGTGTCATCTGGAAAAAAAAAAAAAAACACTCAACAGCTTCTTCTACTTCTGTTTACCGTTTCTTCATCTTCAACTGGGGCAATCATTTTTGTCCTTAATTGTGCTGAGCTAATTTTTCCACACTGTTAACTTGACTTTGATCTTCTAACATCCTATAAATATTAGAAAGAAGAATGTGAGGAATATTTTAATCAGAAAGAGAAAGATGTGGCTGAGTACTGAAGGGAAAAATCAAGTCTTTCCACTAAGTCCTTAAACAAAGATAGTAGGTATTCAAAAATTAAAGTACTACATAAACATCCTCATCTCTAATAAAAAAGCCATTTTTTAATATCTGAGTTGAAATATTTCCTGTTTCCAATATAAATAGTGTCAAAGTAAAATTACTGACATCCTTTTATCCCTCTGAGAGAATATTCACAGGTCAAGACTAAGCCTTCTTTTAATTTCACCATCATCCATAATCCTCTTACTGATCCTACACAGGCTTTCAATATCCAAGGTACAGTATGCCTGCAGTTTTCGTCACCTTATAATCCCAACTCTATTAGACAAAAGCCATTTAAACAACACTATGCTTTGTGTGATATTCTTCTTTCTTTTTAGAAAATAACTTGAATATATCCCTGCCAAACTAGGTTGAGCAAATTTTTACAAAGGGACACTTAAATTATTTTTACAGATGCAGAGAGGAATGGCTAAGGAAGAAACCTGAATTGTGGAAGATTTCTGCAAATTAAAAACCAGGATTACATCGTCATGACTCCGTCACTCAGGTCTCATTTTCAAATCACATAACTAAGTGACCTCACCCTGGCAGCTGAGTGGTTTTTCTTATAGACCCCTTTGCTTCATACCAACATCTCATGTCTCTGAGGGCTGCAGTGACTATGTATATCTACATTAAATTGGAAAGGCAAATGTAGCTAATGAAACCTAACCTGTATTAATGTTCTCTTCCTCAGAGTATCGGAAAAATCTCTTAACTACAAGAATGTCTCCCCAGCAGAGATTTAACTACCTAAATAATTTCATCCACCCAACTGTACTTCCCTCATAAACATTATTATTTGTTTAAACATCTGATATGCCAAATGCCAAATACATAGAGCAGGCACAAGTGATCATTATAAAATCGATCAAATCAAAGCAATTTACATTGTGTATCATTTTCTTCAATAAACAAATTACTTTGATATGAAGGGAAAACAGATGCTAAAACATATCTTCTAATTTATAAAAATTATTTAAGTACAACAATTTTATAGTAAAAATAATATTTCTCTTGACTGAAAAACCACAAATTCTATGTATACAACTTTCTCATTATTTGTTGAAATGCTTGATTTAACACTCCTCTTTTATGTACCAAAGCCTGCTGTAAAGGACAGCTCACTTTGTCAGTTTTCCTTCTCTACTGTCATCTTCCTCACAAATATACACAGTTGATCCTATCATTTCTAATAGCCTCTGCTTTCCATTTAATGCTTACTGTAGTTGAGTCTGACAAGAAACTATGCTCTTCGTATAAGCCAAGAATAAGTTTGTCTTCCATAATGAAATTATAAATCAGGACAAATACAAGAGGAAACAGATCACTTTAGGCTCTTAAGTTTTTATGTCTCTAAAGCATCTAGAGGACTTACTAAATGATCCAACAAGTATAACCTACATGTCTTGGAACAGGAACATTTTCCACAAATGTGTAAAACAAAATTTGAATAGGACACTGACATTTGTCTTTTTCTCTTAGCTTCAGAGAAGCTTTATCAAAAGAATGGAACATATTACAGAAGAAAAACACCTAACCAAAAAGAATGTACATAATTCATGCAGCACTTTCTCTGGAAAAACTATACATGATTCAGAGACCTAAAGGTTAATCAGTTGGAAAAATGAAACATTTCTTTCAAGTACCATTTGTTCTGGATAGTATGGGTCAAGTGTAAAATTCTATAAAGATCGTTTTATAATAGTTTTCTCATTACATTTAGATGGATAACTCAATTATTAAAACTCAAAATCTTAGTCAGGACAGTGCCTTTCGAATCACCAAAGGTCAGATGAAACATGTTATCTATTTATAAAGAAGTTACAGAAATGATGAGCCTAAAAATACACATTTATATAAAGAAAGCAAAGAGATTGTTTACATATATATAAAAAAAAACCTAGAATTTGTACTGTGTCTAAATCACTGATTTTATTAAGTCAAAAAGGTGAATCATAGTATATGTATTCATATGTGAAGGAATGAAGCCTAGACACACTAGATGTTCAAGAAAATACTTCCTAGCAAAAGTACCAGAGTTCTCCTGTTCTCATTTAGTTTCAATAGAATAACATTGCAAGATTAATACAAAGATATTTAGAATACAATATACACGTTAAAACTTTAAATACAAGTTCACTTTGAAAATGATTGATTATCAAAAGATTTTAAAATGTTACACTGAATTTTAAATTAACCCTCAGAAAAGTAATTATGTTTTATACTCTTAAACCAGGAGAACAGACAGACAGACAAGGGCTGTCACCAAAACTGAAGAACAGAATAAAATGTGCCATTGGCACAATTGAAAAGACAATTAGACAATTACATCAGTTGTAGAAATAACTTTAAGACAAAGCAATGAAATTTGATAAAAAGAAAAGCCACTTTGGTCATAACACCAACCAAAGGCAATCAAAACTCCAGATAAGCAGCTTCACAATATGCAGCTGAATTCAATACAGATCACAACCAGAAGCATTTTCTGGTTCAGGAGTAATTATAAAATCTCTTAGGCACCTTTAGATAGCATAATCTAAAACAATTTTCACATGAAGTTCTATTCATAAAGAACCTAAATTATTTAGCCTCTATCTTGTTAAACATCAATAGAAAAGTAAATTTGTCATGACAGCGGTCATATTAGAGAAAGTGGGTGAAGTTTCTTTATCAAATTATTACATATACTCATAAAGCAGTATACACATGCCATTGCTTTGCTGTCTTGTGGAAAGAAACTATGGCTTTCTGGAATGAAAATAGGGATAGAAAAGTAACAATAGAGCTTAGTTACTAAGAGGTCCTTTCTCTTCTCAAAAGATTGATATCTTCAGGCAGAGGCTCAGAGGTATAGAACAATATCCCCCAAACTCCTAAGATCTGTCTTTAATGGAAATGGAAATAAATCAAGGGGAAAGATATAATTTCTTATTCAAACATCAACTTAAAAACTCTTCTTGCAACAGAGTTAAACAAAACTATGATAACCACAGTTCACTGTAATTCCTCTTTAAGTTGTAATTTTACAACTTAAAAAGACTTAAAATAGTGCCACATAATTAACATGAAGTATTACCTTAGAATATGGCAACTACAAATAACAAAAATAGTAACAGTTTTTATGACATGTTTTACTTTATAGTAGCTACTCACCTCACTCTAAAATATTAATAATATAGCAGTTTTAAAGAATGTTTAAAAACCCCAATCAAGACTACTATTGCAATCCTGCATGAAATACTTCAGAATCAAATACATTATTTCCAAGGTCACAACTGTAAATGGTAATTCCAGGTGAGCAGCATCTGTTAGCATTCTTAAAATTGAAACTATCGAAAACATTTAACTTTGGTCATTTAGCTCAATATCTCATTCAATGCAGGGAAGCAAGGATGAAGACTCTACATATTTTTGTGTTCAAATTCAGGGGTGAATCATGGTTGCCAAGTTCAAGTACACGAACAAGTATCAGTCCTCCAAGGTAAAATCTACACTAAAATGAAGGCGCGATCCTGGGGACAGGCAGTTTAATCAGACACAAGGTACGATCCACTGGCTAAAAATCAGAAAGCTAGGAAGACATAAAACCTATTAGCTTTCAAACTTCAAAATATATCCAGAAGCTGAATCAGAAACAGAAGCTTTAGTCCTTTAAACGTGACCTTCGCAAATCAGTTTTCTGTTTGTTTCCACTTCTTTCACAGTTTAAGCTTCAATCAAATCAGCAGTCTCTAGGGATTTTGAAATTGCTACAGATTAAAATCCTCTCTGACTCAACTGTTTGGTTAATGCCGAGTACTTAATAACTCTACTTGTAAGAGACTTTTTTTGATGAAACACTGCTGTTTGATATCAGCACATGCTCTCTGCTGCACCATAATGTAAAGCAGCACTGTCCTTATTTTACTTATCACTGAATGTAGAGTTGAGAAGTGTGCTATTACTAAGAGTTCTATTATGTGGCAGACCTGGAAGAAAACACCTTTCCAATACCAATGTAGAAAATATCATCTACAAAGGCAGAAATGTTGTTCTCTAGGTACAAATATACATATTCATGGCTTGGTTCCAAGGATCGGAAGTTAATAACTATGATAGATAGACTAGAGCTAAGTTAATGAATTTCTAAACTTTATGCTTTCAATAATAAAACCATTTAAGCTATAGCATTTGGACTCTACTTCCACAGATCAGGCACTTTGATACTCAACAGGTTGAGTAAATTGAATCCATATATTGTATTTACGTTCTCTGTCAAGGTTGCTTCTCCACATTTGAGAGATCAAAGGCAAAACAGTCATCAACCCTGTAGCCCTTAATACTGTGTTCATTACATTTAATCAAGTGCCAACTGCACTGCATCATTCACCAACCTTAACAAAATTTAAATGCACAGCATTGTTTAGCAACAAACGTATGCCCAAAATTGTTTTACTACACACACGTCCATACACATTCCAAAATGAGACACACACAAAAATGGGGGGGGGGGGTTGAGAAAATAATTTCTCTATTATGCACCAAAAGAAATAGAAAATACACAGAACTATCCAGTAAATATTTCTGAGGTGATTTTTCTACCTGAGGCAGCATCAATCACGGTAGAAACTCCCCTTCGATCAGAGACTGGACGGGATGACCCTGGCATGCTGACTGGGTCGGAGCGGACCGGCTGGATCCTGCAATGCAATTTAATTTAACTCACATATGTTACTGGCATCAAAACTGTCACTTGCTACAACAGACCTTAAATCAGGAGTGCTGGAATGGCCCAATCCATTAAAGAACGATTTATTCTAAAGCAAGACAAATAGGGAAGCGCAATCCCTAATTCTTGCATAAGGAGAAAGAACAGGAAACATCTCCACACTCCATAACCTACTGTGATATTTTTGAGTAAAGGACTGAAAAATTGGTATTAACTAAAGATGTAAATTAAGTAAAGTAAGAGGAAACAGAATTCTTAATATAAAAACATTTGGCATTTGCAAAATACAGATAAAGAGTTTTGCAAATGTTCTAATTCATGAACAGCACCATAGCTAATAATGCCTTTGATAAAGGGCAGCAATACTACAAGCAAAATGTAGAGTAACTACCTGGAAATCCTTTAAAAAGTTATGTTATATATGGCAACAGTATAGGATAACAGACTGATAGGATGGGACTCCAGAGTAAGGTTAGCTGGGGTTACTACTACCTAACCGAGTTACCTCCACAAAATTACCAATTAGCAATTCTTCCAGTCAATAGGTATTTGCTGAACATTAGTCATGTGAGAGCATTAATCAAGCAGGGGAAAACACACGACATATAAGATCTATGTGCAAATAGATGGTATAGCACAAAAACATTCAAAACTGATTGGAAACTAAGTGTGGAAATGAATGGCCTAGGTCAGAATAAGGAAGAGTCTGCATGCATGATCCACAGTGGATAGAGGAGATCTTATGGTATCTAGCAGACACTGGATGTGTATATATACACTATGATATATATATATATGTATATATATATACACACACTATATATACACACACACACATACATATACACTATATATATATATATATATATATATATATATATATATATATATAGAGAGAGAGAGAGAGAGAGAGAGAGAGAGTATATTATGTATTATACAGTAACAGGATAGGTATATCTACAGAAGAACCATTTTAGCAAACCACTAGAACAAGTGGACCTTTGATCTGTGACTGAGAATGATCAATACAAGCATCTTGAGATGCAGGATTACGTTGATGCATAGAGTTCATAATAGGTATTGGTGAAGATAAGATACTGGTAAGCATCAATGTCAGATTATATGAATCTGAAATGACTGCAGAAGAATAGTAATTATTAAAAGCATGGCTTGACTATATGTATATCTGTCATTTTAAAGAAAGGTTAGGGAGATAAAGGATAAATATATGGATCTAATACTGGAAGTTGTAAAGAATTTGATATATACAAATTCTGATCTCTGCCGTAGGGACACTACACTATTGTATAGAAAAATTCATTCAGTTCTATCTCATCTTCCTAATCCATCCCATGGTGAAGATTAATTAGCTCTGGAATGGCAGGCGTAAGAAAATTTGGTCCCATAAGAAAAGACAAACAGCTTATTTAAAGTTTCTGGAAAATATATTTTCTGGTTCTGAAGAAAAATAGAAGGTAGTCAGTTAAATATGGTCAGTTCATCGAAACTATAGTTCCCTACTGATCAACAAAATACGTAAGCTAATAAATTTCTCATTGTTAATTGAATTTATATCGGATTTTTAAAAAATAATCCAGAGATGTGGGGGGGGGGGTTGTGGTATGGATGGGCTATGAATGAAACAGTACTGGTCATGAGCTGATTAACTGAAACTGGGCAACAGGAACATATGCTTACATAATTAAAGTGTCCCATAAAACAAAAAAGAAGAAGACAAAAACAAACTGGTGGGGTGATGGGAATGTTTTGAAACTAAATAGTGGGGATGTTGCACAACACACTGAATATATGGATAATGCACTGAATTATTCAGTGAAAGTCATATCAACAAAAATAAACTGATATGAAAAAGGTGGGTGGAGCTGATGAATAACATGGAGACGATAGTTGATAATAAGTGTGTAATTGAAAAATTTCCTAACATAACTCACAGTTCTCACCCAAAAAAACCTAATTTATATGTAATATGTGAGTTAATGCATATTTAACAAGCAATAAAATGTAATCGATCTCCTAAGAGTTACACTTCAATGCAAAACAAAACATTGTATCCCCTTCCTTATATCAATAATTATGTGTTTCTCAAAGGTTTCAATGAATTATTTTTAACTGAGATAACATTGATTTAAAACACTGTATATTATCTGTATATTATACATCTTTTTTTTTTTTTTTTTAATTAGGGGCTGCCGTGAGGTTGAGCCATGCCTGAAACCCTAGTGGGTAGAACAGACACTATACCTGCTGTAAATCATTTCGGTCAGGATGCAGGGAGGCAGACTATCAATGCACAATGTAATTTTTAGTGATATCTCATGGACATGGTTACTGACTATGTCAGATATCTTAAACCAATAAAAAGAAAAAAATTCTGAGAGAATGCTTCATAGTTTAAAGGAAAAACTAAGGCACACAGCCATAGCGCCATTGTACATGTGCCTGTGGAAATACAGAAGTCAGAGGTGAGTCATGGGAATTCAGTGCTAATAACAAGGAATAAAGAAAACATAAGTAGTAGGGTGTCCATGCATATGCTGGGTAGAGCACGGTATTCAAAAGGACACTTGTAAGTGCAATAATGTGAGTAAAATCTATATTTCCTATCAAAAATTTGTTCTACTAGGGGTTAAAGTTTAACCAAGGGGCTTATGCTCAAAATTATTAAATATAAATGACAAGTGCAATGAAAAGAAACTGATAAACCTGTTACCAAATATAAAGGTTATTAAAGTGTGTATGTACCCAATGAACAGGACACTATTCTAATCCAATATGAAAATTTAAATTACTTTAACAATTACCAGAAGGCATTTCAGATGCAGGGACATAGTTTTCTTTAGATGCAAGTTAGAATTAGATGAAGGACTATGTATGAAGAGCAGAGTAATTAAGAAAGGAGGAGGAAATAGCCAAACAAGAACAGAGTTGTACATTTAGGAGATAGGTAAGTCCTCTAATGGAAAGGGCCTGCCGTCAGAGGAATAGAAAAGAAGTAAGATCTCGAAAATGGTGAGTCAAGAGACAGAATACAGTTATGTGTCATCTATTTTGAATGTTTTTTATGGACAATTAACTGAAAGCTGATAAACATGAATAACTGCATTTAATGACTAAGTTGAGGACTGACTTAACTTCTAAACCACACTGCAGTTTACAATTGGTAGAAGTAAAACTTGGGCTACTCCCCACTATACTGTCACTTTTACCTGTCATCTTAGGGAAAAGTGCTATCACTAGAAAGCTCCAGATAGTAAAGAAAATATTTTTAAAAGCAAAAAAGGATGGGACCTCTGGGGAAAATAGAAATAAAGCAACTAAACAAAGAACTAAAACATTTAAAAAGTCTTAAAAGAAGACAAGTTTCTAAAAAAAAAAAAAGACAAGTTCCCTTGTAAGAATTATTATCAAATAAGAAACACACATGTCTTACCTAACTGCAACATTTTGCTTTCTTATAGATATGTTGCTAACGATAACAAGAGGTGGACAAAATAACTTTTTGTCCACATTTTCCAACAATTTTAAAAAGCAAATACATGAAAAAGGTCAGAGGGCTATTTTTGAATCAAATAAAGTTACACTGTTGAACTATTTAAAAGACAAGTCAAGGAAATGGAGATTATATTGCATTTCACCAAGTCCTTCACTGTCAAAATTTTAATGTGTAGTAATGTCTCGGTATGACAAATTGAACCACTAAGCAAAGCGGAGACTGTAATAGAAAAAAAAAAAAAAAACTCAGGTGCATTTATTTAAAGAGCTGGCAATAATAGGCAATAATAAAAAGCATACTTTGCAAACCTTATATTAACAGTCTTACAAGTAAGGATCAGATAATATACATGAACAATATACACATATATAGATAGGCCAACAGTGAATATTTGATTTATTTGATATTAACACCTTCTCCATCATAAACTTTGTAAAGTCTAGAATAAGGAATATGCATGACAAGGCAGTTAAAAAAAAAAAAAGCAGTGTATAACCAGACTTAAATCATTAGAAATATGAATAAGTCATATCATGGATTTAGCTGGCTTAAAAAGGGGTATTTAGGGAATCTTAGACTTAGAGAAATAAAATACAAAATTATTATTGAGCAGATCCCATATAAGATCTCCAGTGGTACCAGCATCACAAGGGAATACACATCACATTCAGGAATACACTGTGCCCAAAGAGAAAACGTAAATATTATTGAAGATAGTTATTCTTATTGAGATTAATCTTGTCAAATCACTCCCTCAGTTTTTTGTTCTTACCTGAGACTGTTGAGATCAAGGTCATCTGTATCAAAATCCAAAAGGGGTTGTGGAGTATCACTTGGACCGTGAGACTGCAACACAGATGAACTAGATGATATGACTGTGGTTTGGCCTGAGGGATGGATGGTTTTGAACTGGAACTGTGGACCCATCCACAGACGTCTGTGGGGTCCAGTGTGAGTTACAATTTCTACCTGGAACAGATCAGGTATCAGGATTTAAACATATTATATCTTCCCTTTGAGACTTTCCCAATTCCCTACCCCATGTTGTTTCTGAATACCCACCTTATATATGTGTACATGTATATAGGTACAAATATGTAAGCACAGGTCTAAAAATAGTTGCACATTTACATATGTACACATACACCATATGAAAATAAAAGGACCAGTTACTGCCTGGAGTAATTAAAGTCAACTCCTTAGGGACAACCTTTTTTATTCATTCAAGAATATTTACCATTTTATGGTCATACACTGAATAATAAACATATCAATTTACAGATTAAAATTATTATCTTCACTAAGAATCAAACTTGAAGTTGCTCAAAAGGTAGGAAGGCATAAGTCTGAAATAATTTTCTATACCTGTTTGTTTCCTTCCACAATTAAGTATTACAATATGAAATAGATTTATTTTAAAATTCACCAAAATTTATTTCTAAAAAGAAAAGTAGTATATATTTTCTCTCAATGTAGAGATGTCTTCAAAACACCATTATGTGGCAAGGCAGACGGTCTTACTCTCTGCTCCCCTCAGTGATGTATTTCAATACTTCTACCTGTTTTGCTTCCCACTCTTTCTTTGGTGAAACCTATCACCCATGCATCTCTGTCCTATACCCCAATTCTCGTATGCATGAATAAATAAGTATTTTTAAAAAGACTACTAGTTAAGGAGTTTGAAATTTCAAGGAAAGGAGTATTATCTAAAGAGAGAAACCTTAAAAAAAAAAGTACCACTATTTAATTAGTATGTCTTTTCACCTACCATAAACACTGACAAAGGAATTTTAATTGCAGCAAAATAATAACACTAAAATGCCTTATGAATTTCATGCTTCATGGACAGGGTAGGGAATGTTGCCAATATTGTATTAACTATTGTGAAGACAAAGCAGAGATCAGACATTGGTTAAAATCTCAGAAAAAAAAAATTTTAAATGAATAACTAAAGTAAGAAACTATATATGGAATCTTTGGCAAAGACTATGTATTAATGTCATCTGATTTCTAGGTCCTAATGTCTGTGTACATAATTCAGAGAATGGACTTCCCATGTGCATTGTGTTGCCCTCAGTTCTTTTACACTTGATCATATTTCTCTGCTTGTGATGATGAATTCTTATCAAAACATAACTAAAAAGCTTCAGGGTATGGGTCTGTGTCAGTCCTGAAAAGCAAAATCATCATGGTTTTGGAACAACTTTAATATTCCTACTAGTCACGAGGAGAAAATACTCAGATTTAGGACAAGGAATTCCAATTCAAATAGCTGCATACAGCAGTGTAAATCAGGCCACAGAAAAAGCATTCTGTGTATTTTAAGCTCCAAACCAGCAGTGTCACAAAGCAGAGAGGTAAACAGATGCCTGTGCAGTTTCATGGAGCCACTGGCCAGACGTTCCCATTCACTTTCCTGGTGTGTGCAGTACAAACATATTGTGTACACTTTCACACTGACAGCACACATCACACCCCTTTATCTAACTGAAAAGTTGAAGTGAAGGACAGTCGTTTCTTTTCCAGCATTCATCTTGTTCTGTTTAGCTTAATTTTAACTGTGTATCCACAAAAAAGGAGATGGACTTCTATCTGTCAAGAATTGAGGCACCAGCACCTCCTTCAAGGAGTTTTCCCTGAGTATTTTAGGTGTCATGCACTGTACGTCACCTACAATCAACATGATTCCCTAGTTTCTAGGTGCTCTGTAGTTTTTGAGGCTACCCTCTGGAAGAATGCCACGAAACTGCTCGCAGCCCCCACTGAGGCACCTGTCTGATGAAAAGCTGCTGGACTGGTAATCTGAGACAGGTCATTAACCTCCCCAAATGATGTCAGACTAGAAGCAGACATAACAGCATTTGTAATGAAGTCATTTGTAATCTCATCATTTTGAAATCTGCTCAAGTATCTTTTATTTCAAAGCCCTGAGATGAAGACAGTTTCACCTGGCAGTGGGAGGGAGGGTCATTTGAAGTTGTTATAGAGACCACTGGATGCCCAGATGGTGCCACGAAACACATCCAAAAGATTCTTCAATGGCTTCCCTGTTATAACATGGCCCTGATCTTATTTGAATTCAAAGATACCCCATAAAGTTCACAGTACGAATGAATTATTTGAAAGACAGACATATGTTCCACTCTTATATGAAAGTTACTGTGTATGCATGTGTGTATTTGTAGACATAGACACACAGGCATGTATGCATGTGTGTATTTGTAGACATAGACACACAAACACACCTACAACAGTACTATCAGAAAGTCTCAATATGGAAGTGTAATTGGTTAGTTTTTCGCTACCATTAGAGTATTTTAAATAATTTTTTCAATTCTAGAATAAAAATACAGGATTTCTGTTTTCTTTCACATAGGACAGTATGAGAATAATTTCAGAACTTACCTGAGAAAGCCATTCTTCATCTTCCTGTCCACTATGGTCAGAAGCTAAACTGTCATAGGACCCATGCCGAGTAATGGGTCCAGGACTTCCAGGGGGAACCACTATAAGGAGAAGGAAGACATATTTAAACAATGTTGATCCATGCAGTAGATTTTTTTTTAAAGTAATGTCATGAAGAAAAGAATATCATAGTATATATCTAATCAATACTTATCCAACCTCTTAGAAATAAGTTTGACATATATTGTAAAAATCCTAAGCAATTATCTTGACAAAAGGCTGACTTGTTCCCAATACATCTATCATTTTTGTAAGTATATTTTATTTTAAATTCTTAATAAGAAGAAAATAAGGGGCCCTTCCTGGTGGTGCAGCAAGTAAATGCAGCACTAAGAAGCTTAGCCCTGAAGGTGACCCACATGGCGCGGCAGACCTCTCCTGACCCGCCCGCTGCTCCCCTCAGCAGTGTACTTTGCAGTCAGCCTGTTCTGCTTCCCACTCTGTCTCTGGTGAATCTTCTCACTGCCCCTGCACCTCTGGCATGTACCCCAGTTCTGTATGCACAAATAAATAAATCTTTAGAAAAAAAATACCAAAAAAAAAAAAAAAAGAAGTGATTCAGATGCCCATCCCCTAAATACTCAGTCAAGAATGTAACCAAGGACAAGGATCTAGGAGAGAGTGTTCTGGAAAATAGGTAAGGCCAGAGAAAAATCTTAAACATATAGGTATGTGCAGGAAAAGGATTACAAGGATATCAAATACAAAGATTGTGAAGTGAAAACATAAAGGAAATGTACAGTGATATGAGAACAATAGCCACAAGAGGAGATGAGTCACTAAGGCAAACAGGACAGGGAGGGAGACCAGCAAACTTCTCATGTTTGTTTTGTCTTTTTTACAATAAAGCTAGAATCATGTGACAAAAAGATACTGAACACTTTAAATAAGAGAAAGAAATTATACTTGTTTCACTAGCTGGTCCCTAAAGTGAAAATTTGTAAGAGCTTGAGCTCTATACACAGTAAGCTCAGGCAAGCACCTACTGCACAACACTCCTAAAGTATTAATTGAGTGAAAGTAGGTTTGAAGTCTGCTCTGCACATAATATCACCATAATGAATGCACATGATACAGTATGACCTAACAATATAACATAATCTAACACCACATCTCAGGGATAAAGTTAAAAATAATTCAGTAGCTAGGATGGGAATGAGAAGTAGCATTATATTACAGATGAAACAAGATTGAGTTCATTGCTTAACTCAGGTGATAGGTAATCAAGACTTTTTATACTTTTTCTCCCTAATTTTGTACTTTCCTTATTTAAAAATTAATGAGAAAGAAGAATGGCCTTCCTCCTCATCCATTCAGCCATTATCTGCTTTCCAAAGAAAATGGTAAAATAAATGTATCTAAATCCTGAATTGTAAGAACAATGTGCATATGTATTTTCAATGAAGTAGATGTATGTGTATATATATACATATATACACATATACATACATACATACATACATATATATATATATATGTATATATATATATAGTCTTATAATTAAGGATGTTTTGAACCACTCAGAATATGGGCAAAATAAAATATAGGTCTAATAGGATAATATTTTTTAACATGAAATAAACAGCCATCCTTCTCCTTACATTTCTTTGTTTTAAATTTCCCCTGTTTGAGGTAGGAAGAACATTCCATACTTACTATATTAGGTAAGAAGTAACCTACCGACACACAAAAATAAGAATTCAAAATAACAATCCTGGATTAAGGAAAAAAAGGCAAAAAGTAGGAGTAGTGAGAGCAAAGCTTCCCTGCTATCCACCCAGATTGTACAATCTGGTTATGATTCCTATTTTATTTATTTATTTATTTTTAGATTTTATTTTTTTATTTGTGCATACAGAACTGGGGTACAGGCCAGAGGCTCAGGGGCGGTGAGAGGATTCACCAGAGACAGAGCGGGGAGCAGAACAGGCAGATCGACGAAGTACACTGCTGAGGGGAGCAGCAGACGGGTCAGGAGAGGTCTGCCGCGCCATGTGGTCACCTCTGGGGCAGGCGGGAATCGAACTCATGCGGAAGCGGCTTTAGATTCTCAGTGCTGTGCTTTAACCCGCTGCGCCACCAGGGAGGGCCTATGATTCCTATTTTAAACAGAAAAGAGAGATAGGGACATCCCAGCAGGAACAATGTGGGTAAAATGTCCCATCTCTCATCTCATTATTTCACTCTGTGACCCCTAAAGAATTTGGATGAACTTTGGAGGGATTATAATTGAAAAACTGTTCCATATTTGTTAGTTTTTGCATGATCACCTACATATCTCATAAGTCTATGTCTAGTTGAAATACATATCCCATCAGGCTAAAGGTTTTCTTTTAAATTTACCAATTGTTCTTAGATAACTAATGAGCTTGAGAGAGAAAAGCTATATATAATTTTGAGGATAAAAAAAATCTCTGTTGAGTCTATACTTACCTTTAAATAAAGCTACTTAACACAAGCCTATCCATCTAACTAAAAAGGATATACTGTCAATTTACTTTAGAGAGTAGAACTTCAAAAGTATTGCCTCTAAATGCAGACAACTGATAAGTAGAGATCAACACTCTAGGGCAAGATGAGCAAATAATTAGGAGGTAACTATGAGCCAGACTTTGTTTATACTGTGTTCTCAGGGAAAGCAGATCATGCTTTCAGTAACTAAATAGAGGACCAAAGAAAGAAAATCACTAAGTATTTGGTATCTTACAATATGTGTGTTTCTAGGTATCTAATTTTATATTTTAAAATGTGTTCATATGCAAAGCAAATAAAAATAAATTTGCTTCAGTATCAACCTCTGCAAATTCATCCTGTTCATCTATATAAATCTACAAATCCTTCAAGTCAGCAGGACAAATTGAGTAAAATTATGCACAGAAAGATTAAATGGTTCATTGACAATGTTCCTAAGTCTGAATCCCATGTAATAAAATTCTCATATTCCAAAATGGAAAGTGCCTATTTACAATATCACTTCTCAAATCCATAAATAGTTTACATGAGTACCCTGCATTTGAGTTTTTGGATGTCTCTGCAATATATGTGGATAAGTGGCTACATAATTTTTGCAAATTATTCTCCACAAGTAAGTTATTTATGAGTTAGAGAAAGTTAAAAATAATGTTTTAGATGATGCTAAAGTATAGGTGCAAAATATTAATTTAGTATAATAATGGCAAAATTTACAAAGTATAAACACTGTGTTAATAGCCATCCAAAGCAACATGTTAAGTCTCCTTTTCAACAATGGTTCACGGAATGAGTACAGAGTGATACTTGGAAGGGAAATGGGTCAAACGGGTAGTAGGAGCACAAACGACAAGAGCAAAGGGTCAAGGTGTCTGATGGTGGGAGAACTACCGGGCTGTGCGAGGGGAGAGAGCAAACACTGCTCAAAAACTGACAATGAAGAAAGAAAATAAACTTAATAATCAAGAATTTTTTAAAAATAATTCTTTATTACTTTCAAAATATAGACTACTAATTACATGCTAGGGTATGTAGTATTAGTTCAAAGTATAATAAATAAGGAGGTCTTGCTAGTTATGATGAAATATAAATAGTTAAATACTTCATGGTTTTTTCACCCAAAGTGTAACAGTGTTTCTCAGTCCCAAGAATGAACTTTCTAAAATATTCAAAAGTTAGATTTCAATAAACTAAATCATGTGCAAAAAGTCCACTCTTTCAGTTAGAAAAAAGAAGATAAGTTTTTATAAAGTACTTGAGGATGCTTTATACTTGGGCAGGTTTATTACTTGTGTTTGGGTGTGGCTTAGATACAGGAATAAACAGGGTCTAGGTGTCCCTTTAGCAGAAAAAAAAAAAAAGAATAATTACTTGTTGCCAGCTCCACTTGCTTTTGAAGCAAGGAAAGAAAAAAAGGATTTTGACAATGCATATAAAAGTTAATATTAAGCACACACAAGTTATAAGCATTCTTTTTACATAAACAAACACAAAGCATAATAGTCAACATTAAGCAGTGCTTCTTTAAAAGAAAAAAAAAAAGAAAATTCATTGGTTCTGTTCTTATTCTATTCCCTCCTACACTTCTTGAACTCCCAGTAATAAATTCTCATAGTTGGAGCTCTGGAAGCTTCAGAGGACATAGCTAATCAACTACAGGTTCTGCTGCTAGTGAACTCATGCTCCAAACTTAAGAAGATGTTGAAAAGCTGTTCTACTCTCTGCAATGTGTCTCAATGCCATTGAAAATATGGCATAACTATTCTTCAAATAAGGGGGCGGGTGGTGCCAACCTAATGGTCAGATCATTATCAGACACAGTTAGTGGCTTTCGTTTCTGCTGAAGAACTAACATGTGTTCAGATGGTGAATATAGAAAGCAACTTAAAGACTCTTAATGTGAAAAATAAAGATGAACCAAAGATTTTTACTAGAGAAATGAGTGTGAGATGGGTCATACTGGCAGCTGAGTTTTACATGGCCAATGATTTAAGTATGCTTCAATGCTTCATATTTTTAAATACTTCAAAATTTAGGAACAGACACAACTTTTTGTTTGACCCTTCTCTTTACCATCACCACAAACAATAAAACCCTTACCACACGAAGGGTTTCGTGCAGTCCTGAGAGGTGAATAATGTTTTGCCTGCATTATTCAGTCCTTTAGGTTATTTAGGGAAACAACATTCCTTTTTTCTGGCAACAGAGAAATTTGTGAGTTAAATGACATCATGCTGGCTTGAATGAAACAGCTCAGGCTCAAAGTTCACCCAAAGGCCAATAGTGATAAACTCTCATCCAAGGACAAACTTCAATATATTTTTTGGTACTTATTAAAAACAGCATTTATGTATAAAAGCCGTGTAATAAGATGGAGGGCTCTCTCTGTTTCTGATCAGAAAGCACTCAGAACCTGAGGAATAACTTCTGCTTGGGAATATAGATTCTTAGTAGAGAAATAAAAAAGAGAAAGGCTCAAAATCTAAAAGCAAAGTAGTGTAAAGGTTTTCCAACGAATGAGCAATTCACCAAAGAGGATATGTGTGTATGTTCTAATATATATGTATATTT